CTCACATACACACACACACACACACACACAATGTCCTAATGCCCCCACATAGACAGTGCAAACAGAAGATTAATTTCACTTTCTTTTTTCCTTTATTTCCTATGGCAACACTTGGTCCTTCAACCATTTCTGATTGTATCTGTTCCTCATTTTGATCATAACTTGTCTGCTCCTCGTTTATTTTCTCATTCTAATGCACTGCATCGCTTCTCAGGACAGCAAAGAATAACGAGCAGCTCTCGCTGATATACAGCGATCTTCATCAGCACCACTAGCTGCTTAGAAAACGTCTGCCAAACAAGAAATTGTCACAAAAAAAAAGAAGCAGCAAAAGATAAAGAAAAAATTGAAAAACTCGTACCGTAGCTACTGCGGAGAGAGAGATTACGCGTGTGTGTTACCGGAGTCTGCTTGGAAAAAATATATAATCAGAATATCAACTTGCATAATAATTATGCATGCACTGTATTTGTCCTCTTCTGCTGTCGAGGAAATGCAAGGAATGTTGGGATTGGTTGTCAAGGCAGCCAAGCAGGATTTTGCAGCCTAGTCTCTGATTGGCTGGAATTATGGCACATTGTAACGCTGGGTTGTGTTGAGCACGCAGCTGTTGAGCGAGCACAGAGGGGGGGCATCAGGTGAGCAAGCTAGTGGAACGTTGCACGCGCAAAAGAGAAGGTCTGCACACATCCAAAAACGTATTATAAATGCAAAATAGATTCAAAATAGATTTATCTAAAAATGACTTTTTTCTTTGCGAAACGACCATTTTCTCCACAAAACTCAGATCGCGCGCGTGCAAAAATGCACTTTTGTGAGAGAATTGCAGAATTGTGGCAGAAATGTAAGCCCATACAGTGCAGTCCGTGTTTTGACTTCGGTAAATCAGTTTTGGCAAATACAAACTACCTGATTATTTTTCATGAGTCCAACATCCCGCCGTGCAAGAAAACATGCAATCTACCCGAGACCTGATCAATAAGAGAAGCCGTCTTTTATTGCAAAATAGAGGGGGAAAAAAACATTTTACATTTAAGTAAGCTTCTTAACCCATGCATCTATCTAATTCGTAAAACACACAAAATGACCAATAAAAAAGTGTCAAGCACCAAAAGCAGCCTATATTAAATCTATAAGTTATCTTTAATTAAATATATATATATATATATACATACGCGATTGTCCCATAACCCTGTTGGGGAAAAAACAGCATATGCTGTATGTTTTGACGCTGGGATGCTGGTTTAAGCTGGTCCTTTGCTGGTTTATGCTAAAACCAGCAAAGGACCAGCATCAAAGCATACCTAACCAGCATATGCAGTTTTTTCAACAGGGAAAGCATTTAATCGTATTCCTAAGGATCCCGATAGACGACTAAAATGGTTCACTGCAATAAAACATGCTAACCAACACAAAAAGCACCACAGGGGCATTATAGAGATCTGTTATGCGTAATCTATTACGTTTTGCTATGCTCTGCTTGCACGTGAGTGATCGTGCTTTCCCTCGAATAAAAACTAAATTTCGTTGGGGGAAAATATTTGTTATATTTGTTTATTGTCTTGGTTCAAATACTGTGATTGGTTGTCAAGGCAGCCAATCAGAATTTAGCAGCCTCAGTCTCTGATTGGCTGGAATTATGGCACATTGTAACGCTGGGTTGTGTTGAGCACGCAGCTGTTGAGCGAGCACAGAGGGGGGGCATCAGGTGAGCAAGCTAGTGGAACGTTGCACGCGCAAAAGAGAAGGTCTGCACACATCCAAAAACGTATTATAAATGCAAAATAGATTCAAAATAGATTTATCTAAAAATGACTTTTTTCTTTGCGAAACGACCATTTTCTCCACAAAACTCAGATCGCGCGCGTGCAAAAATGCACTTTTGTGAGAGAATTGCAGAATTGTGGCAGAAATGTAAGCCCATACAGTGCAGTCCGTGTTTTGACTTCGGTAAATCAGTTTTGGCAAATACAAACTACCTGATTATTTTTCATGAGTCCAACATCCCGCCGTGCAAGAAAACATGCAATCTACCCGAGACCTGATCAATAAGAGAAGCCGTCTTTTATTGCAAAATAGAGGGGGAAAAAAACATTTTACATTTAAGTAAGCTTCTTAACCCATGCATCTATCTAATTCGTAAAACACACAAAATGACCAATAAAAAAGTGTCAAGCACCAAAAGCAGCCTATATTAAATCTATAAGTTATCTTTAATTAAATATATATATATATATATACATACGCGATTGTCCCATAACCCTGTTGGGGAAAAAACAGCATATGCTGTATGTTTTGACGCTGGGATGCTGGTTTAAGCTGGTCCTTTGCTGGTTTATGCTAAAACCAGCAAAGGACCAGCATCAAAGCATACCTAACCAGCATATGCAGTTTTTTCAACAGGGAAAGCATTTAATCGTATTCCTAAGGATCCCGATAGACGACTAAAATGGTTCACTGCAATAAAACATGCTAACCAACACAAAAAGCACCACAGGGGCATTATAGAGATCTGTTATGCGTAATCTATTACGTTTTGCTATGCTCTGCTTGCACGTGAGTGATCGTGCTTTCCCTCGAATAAAAACTAAATTTCGTTGGGGGAAAATATTTGTTATATTTGTTTATTGTCTTGGTTCTTTTGCTGGTAGCCCGTTGTAAATTATTATTATTATTATTATTATGAATAATAATAAAATAAAATGTATGACGTGCGAGCATAGTTACGTGCCTAGAATGCTTTGCATAAATCCCGCTGTCTGCTGTCTGTGACGTCACATAACAGGTTCGAAATTAGAATGTTCAGAATCTGTATAATACTCAATCTGCTTGATCGCTTTTACAACTCAGTCTGCTCGTTTGCATTCTGCTCGACTGCGAGATTTGCTCTGCTCTACAAAAATATTCACTCTGCTTGACTGCACTCTTAATTCAGTTGAGCAAAGAGTCCAATACATTACATTTCTGCAAGTCTCTCTGCAAGACTTTGCCCATTTATCTAGACTCCAGAAGATTCAGCTGGTTCCCCGAAACAAAACCATGCTGATCACTGTCAGTCTGGTGATGTTATGGTGGTACTCCACCAGGGTGAAAAATAAATCACCAAATACAGTGAAAGAGGAGGACACCAAACAACTACAGATCACCAGGAAGACAACCAAGAGACAACTGGAGTGGCATTTCACAGAAGGTAAGCGCATTATTGTATCATCTGTACATCTGAGCATATACCAGTCATTCCTGGTGTTTGGTGCCTTTTGGGTATCATAAAATGTAGAAAATCAAAAACTGTTTTTTTTGTGTGTGTAATCATGATAGGAAGTTGTAAAAAATGATTAAGATCAAGCTCAGGAAAATAAATGTTAGCATTTATGAAAATCAGTCTGAAATGTGAGATTAAAAATGTCCAGCCTGTTAGGGACATAACAGTTTAAAAAAACTTATCTGGTGATAAATTGGTCATTTTTTTTCTTTTCAGATACAATTGTATAAGCAACATTTTTGCTTACTATTAATACTTGATAGATATACTAATATTAATTATACTATTGATATTTAAAAAAAAATTGGCACTAAATTATTAGTAGGCTATTTTTTTTTCTACTTACTTTTTTTCTTCTTCATATTTTCCGTAACAGAGTGGACATGTTGAGGTTGACCATATCATGGTCACACTAAAAACTGTTAATACAATTTAAAAAAATCTATACATAGAAAAGTATTACATATAGAAGTATTAGGTATATATGTATATAACAATGTGCAATCAAGCAATATTGAAAATTGTTATTCACAGTAACCATTATTCAGATAACAATAAAGTGGATCCAATACTATAACAGTTTCTACTCTCTTCTTCTTTTGACACAGGATCTGAGACTGCCACTACCTCTGCAGCTGACACTGTCTCTGGCACGGACAGTGCACATGAGACTGCCATCATCCCTGAGATTAACAGTGCACCTGAGACCGCCCTCATCCCTGAAAAGGACAGTGCACCTGAGACCGTCATCGTCCCTGAGGCGGACAATGAACCTGAGACGGACAGTGCACCTGAGACCACCATCATCCCTGAGATGAACAGTGCACCTGAGACCGCCATCGTCTCTGAGACGGACAGTTCACCTGAGACCGACATCATCCCTGAGGTGGACAATGAATCTGAGACGGACAATGCACCTGAGACTGTCATCGTCCCTGAGGGGGACAATGAACCTGAGACGGACAGTGCACCTGAGACCGCCCTCATCCCTGAGACGGACAGTGCACCTGAGACCGTTATCGTCCCTGAGGCGGACAATGAACCTGAGACGGACAGTGCACCTGAGACCG